GGGGGGGAGGGGTGCTAAGTTGAGCAACTAACTAGGCAGCCATTTTGATTAAGAATTAATATGAACAGGAGCAATAACATATATATATTATAATATATATTGAAATAGGCATTTTATCATAGTCACTTAAGCACAACCATTACACTACAAACCTGCACTGAAAAGTTGAATAAGCCACTGTTCTAATAAATAGTAGTGTGTTTACGTTTTCACCTTTCCTATATTATCTATTTTGAATGTAAGGACAAAGAGATTAAATTGAGCAGATTGCTAATGCACAATTGGAAACATTTATGCAAAATAACTTTAAAGAGTTATGAGAAGGCATATATATTAATTAGGGCTTCAGGTTGACATGCACTTTAAGCAGTACAATACATAAAATAAGTCCCTGGTGTTTAGGTAAATAGAGAGCTTAGTTGGCAATTATATGTTATACAGTATATCTAGACAAAATAAATAAAATTTAAAAACAATTCTTAACACTAAAATAAAAAAGGACACACATGGGCAATGCAATCAATTTACAATGTAAGCAAACACAAATCTATATCTATTCATTATTAAACAAACATAATCCAATTATTGTTTCTATCTGAAAGAGAACTCAGGTAGTATTATATAAACAATTAATACAAAGTTATTTCAATCAATATTATATAAGCACCAAATGTATCTATTGCTGCTTGATCCCCTAGTCATACTGATTTTGGGATCTTACCCATAAGAACAAGTTCATGGTAAGCAAAAAGCTTTTTATTTTCCAATACCAGTCACATGTACATTTGTTTTTTTCTTTGGAATGTTCAGGATGTGAACAGAATATATAGTTACGTAGTAGGTAATGTTGAAATAAGACACAGGTGCATCGGGTTCAACCAATGTAATCTTAATTTCACCATATTAATCCAGTGCTGCATGGTCCCATAGTCAGTCAAGCAATTTTAACCCAGTATTTGTATTTCTTGTATTTTTAGTTGGATCCAGAAACTAGTGACATCCTCAAAGAGTTGCAAGTGAAGCTAAACAATGTGTTGGATGAGCTAAGCAGAATATTTGCTACAAGGTAAATGTGGACCTATAGTGCCTGTATTTGTATTATGTGAAAATTAATTAGCAGAAAGCAGTTACCAGCACTAGCATCTCATTCAGCACTAATTTATTGAAAGATTATCTCCTCCAAACAGTAGAAATAACTATTACTATTGTTTGGTGGAGATGATTTTTCAATAAGTTATTGCTAGAGAAGAGGCTCATGCTGGTAACTGCTTTCTGCTATTCCAGCATGTGGCAGAGAGTTCCAGACCCTGACTGATCTAACAGAGAAGAAACCCCTTCGCCCCTTGTGCTGAAATTTTTTCTCCACCAATTTTAGGTGGTGGCCTCTCGTCCTTGTCATGGAGTTAATTGTAAAAAGTTTGCTGCTAATGTTAAACATTTTCTACATGAAAATCATGTGCCCACTTAATCTCCTTACTTCCACAGAGAACATATTTCAATTCGGTAGCCTGTTCTCATAGCTCAGGTCCTCTATACCCTTTACGAGTTTGGTCGCCCTCCCCTGGATCCCTTCCAGTTCAAAGACGTCCTTTCTGTTCACTGGTGCCCAAAACTGGACCGCATACTCCAGATGAGGCCGAACCAGTGATCTATAAAGTGGCAGAATTATAGACTTGTCCCTGCTGAACATTCCCCTCTTAATACAGGACAGGACCCTACTTGCGTTGCTTACCGCAGCCTGACACTGCGAGCTATTATTCAGTCTGTGGTCTACAATGACCCCCAAATCTGTTTCCCTTTCGGACTTCCCCAGCGGAGCTCCCATTAGTGTGTAATTTGCTTTGTTATTTTTAACCCCAAAGTGCATTACTTTACATTTATCTACATTAAACCTCATCTGCCATGTAGTTGCCCACTCCCCTATTTTATCTAGATTCCCCTGTAATGTTATAGCGTCTGATTCAGTTTCTATTACCCTCCTGATTTTAGTATCATCAGCAAACACTGAAACGTGGCTGTTTACCCCCTCCCCAATATCGATAATGAAAAGGTTAAATAGCATGGGGCCCAGTACAGATCCCTGGGGCACGCCGCTCATGACCCTAGCCCAATCCTAGAAGGTGCCATTTATGGATACTCTTTGTACCCGTTCCTGTAGCCAGTTTTCTATCCATGTATACACCATTTCATCTATGCTCATAGACCTCAGCTTGTGTAGTAAACGTGTATGTGGTACCGTGTCAAATGCCTTAGCAAAGTCCAAATATACCACATCCACTGGCCTCCCTCCATCCAGATCTCTACTTACCCCTTCGTAAAAAGTTAGCAAGTTAGTCTGACAGAAACGGTCTTTCCTAAATCCATGCTGGTTGTCATTTACTATGGCATTATCCTGAACAAATTCTACTAAGTGGTCTTTGATCATACCCTCTAACATCTTGCACACTACCGATGTAAGGCTAACTGGTCTGTAGTTCCCCCGGATGGCATTAATATATTGGAACTACCGTAGCCCTCCGCCAGTCGCGTGGCACTCTGCCAGTCATTAATCTTTCAAAATTATGAATAATGGTCCCGCTATAACTTGGCTTAGTTCTTTGAGTACCTTGGGGTGTAGATTATCCGGTCATAATGCTTTATTTGCATTAAGTAGTTTGAGTCTGTTTTGTATCTCGGTTTCTGTCAACCACTGTGGAATATTTTGAGACAAACTATGTGTGTTCCTATGTTTAATAGTACCGTCTTTAACCTGAGTCTATACTGATGAGAAAAAGGTATTCAATGCCTCAGCCCTCTCCCTGTCGTTTGTGACCAACTCCCCGTTATCATCCATTATTTGGCCTATCTGCTCCTTTCTTACTCTTTTGCAGTTTATGTACTGGTAAAAAAATGTTGGGTTTCTTTTTACTAACTGTGGCGATATGTTTTCCACACTCTATTTTAGCTTCCCGAATTATTTTCTTGCATCTTTTGTTACATTCTTTGTAATTAGCGAACGCCAATGACATCCCTTCCGTCTTTTTTATTTTATAAATGCCACTCTCTTGTCCTTGATGTGTTGCTTTACCGATTTATTTATCCATACAGGCTTAGTTTTTTCCCCAATGATATACACTTGGTAATAGCCTTTTGTAATGTGGTCTTAAAACATTCCCATTTCTGTTCAGTGCTTAGTTCCAGAAATAAGTTTTCCCATTTGATTTCACTCATTAGCTGGCACAGCTTATCAAAGTTAGCCTTCCTGAAGTTTGTCCGACCCGCCGACTTCCCTTTTCTATACCCAATATTGAAGGTAATCACATAGTGATTACTATTACCCAATGTCTCCCCAATTGCAATATCTTCAATTAACTCCCCATTATTAGAAATTATTAAATCTAGGATGGCATTTTTCCTAGTTGGAACCGCCACCATCTGATCCATGAAGATGTCTCGCAACATGTTCAGAAAACGGGCCGCTTTTGTCGAATGGGATGTTCCAGTCACCCAGTTTATGTCCGGATAATTGAAGTCACCCATAATGACAACATTACCCTGCTTCCCCGCTGTTTCCATCTGGGAGTGTAGCTGTGCCTCCTCCCCCCCCCCCTATATCTGGGGGTTTATAACACACCCACACAATAAGTTTACGGCTAGCTTACAGCCTCCAGCCTATCAAGTTCTATCCACATGGATTCCATGTCTTCCCCACCATTTAACGCTATATCATCCCGTATGTGCACCTTTAGGTTAATTTTAACATAAATGCAAACCCCCCCTTCTCCCACACCTGTCCCTCCTGAACATGTTGTACCCCTCTATGTTAGTGGCCCAATCATGTGTGTTATCTAGCCAAGTTTCCATTATTCCTACTATATCGAAGTTTTCCTTGAGTAACATAACTTCGAGCTCTTCTAGTTTATTTGTTAGACTTCTAGCATTGGTGTACATACATTTCATTTTTGACCTACTATTGGAAAAATGCAAAATATTATCCCGCTCTCCGCTACTTTTTTGTACTTTGCCTTGCTATAGGTGGGTCATTTCTAATTTGATTAACTATGGCCATACAATTTGCTATGTTAACCTAAGTTATCTATGTTGATTTTATTGTTGTTCTTGTTGTTGACTGGAGCGAGCCCCCCATTTACCCCTGTATTACTCCCTTCCTTATTGTTTTTCCCTGTGTTTACTTGTTCACCATTTAAATTATATATATATGTTTATTAAAGGGCTGTTACTGATTTTTATCGATTAATTTCGATTAATTATAACGCACATACAGATCCAACTACATTAGCCTATACACATACAGCACAGCAATGAAGTCATAAAATGAACTAGGATCACACTAATCCAGCACTTTATTAATCTCACGCGCCCCACTCAATATGGCCGCCGATTGAGTGGGGCAACTCAGAATAATACGTGCTGGATTAGTGTGATCCTAGTTCATTGTATTACTTCATTGCTGTGCTGTATGTGTATAGGCCAATGCTTGGCTGGCGCTCGTGCAGAAAGTTTCTTGGGCAAACTCACCAGCCCAAGTGGCTCCGTCGGCTAACGAAAGGAAGGGGGGAGGAGTCCGGTGTCGTCACGGACATCGAAGTCGTTAGCCGACGGAGGCACTTGGTGACATCAACGTCACCAGACTCCTCCCCCCTTCCCTTCGTTAGCCGACGGAGCCACCTGGGAAAGGGGGAAGGAGCCCGGTGACGTCGATGTCAGTGACGTCACCGGATCTCCAGCGGGACTCCCGGAAGCCAGCGGAGAGGTGGGTATTTTCATTAGCGATCAAAAAAAATTTTAATCGATCAAAAAGATTAACGATTAATCGAGAAATTAATCGTTAATTTGCACAGCCCTAGTTTATTCCCTCCCCCCTGTTAGCTAGTTTAAATGCTCCTCCAGTCTTTTGACTATTTTTTCCCCCCAGAAATGCTGCACCTTCCCCATTCAGGTGTAGCCCGTCTCGGCTGAAGAGCCGGTAGCCGACTGAGAAGTCAGCCCAGTTCTCCAGGAACCCAAAGCCCTCCTTCCGACACCAGCCTCGGAGCCACTTGTTAAGCTCCCTCAACTCGCGCTGTCTCTCTGGAGTGGCTCTTGGCACCGGCAGTATACTACCGTGGAGGTCCTTTCCTTCAGTCTAGCACCTAAGTCTTGGAACCCCTTTTTTAGGACACTCCAATTGCCACCTATTTTGTCATTGTGGCCAATATGCACCAAGGCAGCTGGGTCTTGCCCTACCCCATCCAGTAACCTGTCAATTCGTTCCGCAATGTGCCAAACACGAGCTCCAGGTAAGAAGCACACTGTTCGGCGATCGCGATCCCGATGACAGAATACCCGGTCTGTCCACTTGATGATGGAGTCTCCAACCACCAAGATCTGCCTCTCCTGTCCGACCATCGTGCTCCCCTCCGTGCTAGAGCAGTCACTCCCCCTGCGCATAGAAGAGGCGTCCTGCTCCAGCAGTGTCGCCCCTGAACTAATATCCCCAACATTCTGCAACCTGGCATATTTGCTGGGGTTAGTCAGATCAGGGCTGACCTCTCTCCCACTCTTCCCTCTACCCCTCCTTCTAACAGTGACCCAACTACCCACCTCGGAATCCCGCTCCTCCGACCCCACCTCCTCATCTATGCCGCCCTCCAACAGAGCCTGGTGCGTCAGGTCCAGACTCTTTTCCATGTTGGTTATGCTCCTTAGTGTTGCCAGCTTTTTGCTTAGATCCAGGATCTGGGCTTCCAAACAAACAACTCGCTCACATCTAGCGCAATTGTATTTCCCCTCGAACGCCTGTTCAACGAACGCATACATTGCGCATGACATGCACTTGGTAGCACACCCACTCACGGAAGACATATTTTATCCCCTTTTTTATCTATGGATATTTAGGTTATTTATTTATCTATCCTTTTATTTATTATATTTTATTTAGTCCTAATCGTTCTCAAGTGGCTATTTCTCTACCCTTAATTAGTTAATACTTCTGTCTACCGTAACTTTCCATTAAATTTTAAGTTGTATTACTTATGCCCCTGTTTTCCTGTAATTTTAGTGATTTACCCTGTAGATAATTACTTT